TATAGAATTACCCTGTAAATCTCTAAAATTACTTTGTAAATCTCTACAACACAGAAGGTGTAAAATTTTACTACATAAGATCTCAACATATATATGAATTAACATTGTAAAATCAGATATCTATATAGCAAAATTACATATTTACTCTGTAAATCTTTGTAAAATCTATACACTTGATTTTTTATACAGTAAAATGTATGGATTTGACTGTGTAAAAATCTGTAAATTATTTAAGAGCATGTAGTTGTACTTGTTATACTTATATGAATTATCTATTGTTTAGCAGTGTCCAATATAATAACTTGTAGACTAAAATATATTATCTTAAACGAATCTTTGCTCCCTCAGGAGTATCCAATGGCTAAAATTTTGAATACTGTATGAAAAATAGGCATCTTAGCCATCGTAATTTACATATGGCGGCCTACATGTGAAATGCAATTTCGAAACTGTAGTATTCTGCTCATTGTTGTACTTTCTTTTTCTCTATTTCTTCTTTCGATTTTCTCCATTTCCTTGTCACTTAATTCCCGCATTGCCCACTTATATTAACTCAACAACACGTATACTATGCTCCCTCAAGAGCATAGTTTACTTCTACGCACTTAGTTGAAAGCCCTACTTAGCCATATTTTTCCAAGTTGAAATTATGGGAACTACTTAAAAATAAGCAGATGATTATTCTAAAAATATAAATTAAAATTTGAGTTTTTTAACACTTAAATCTCACCACAGAAAAGTTGGATGGTTTACATTCAACCAAGTATTGTCGTTGTTGTTGTTGCTGTTGTTGATGTTGTTGCTGCTGTTGCTACTGTTGCTGTTGCTGTTGTTGCTCCCCGCTGCTGCTGCTGTTGCAGCTGTTGTTGCTGGTGTTGTTGTTGTTGTTGTTGTTGCTGTTGTTGTTGTTGTTGTTGTTGCTGTTGCTATTGCTGTTGTTGCTATTGTCGATGTTGTCGTTGTTGTTGCTGCTGCTGCTGCTGTTGTTGCTGCTGCTGCTGCTGCTGTTGTTGCTGTTGTTGATGTTGTTACTGTTGTTGTGGTTGTTGTTGTTGTTGTTGTTACTGTTGCTGTTGCTGCTGTTGCTGCTGTTGTTGCTGTTGTTGTTGTTGTTATTGTTGCTGATGTTGCTGTTGTTGCTGATGTTGTTGCTGTTGTTGTTGCTGCTGTTGTTGTTGCTGTTGTTGTTGCTGTTGTTGTTGTTATTGCTGATGTTGCTGTTGTTGCTAATGTTGTTGCTGCTGTTGTTGCTGCTGCTGTTGCTGCTGTTGTTGCTGCTGTTGTTGTTGATGATACTGTTGTTACTGTTGTTGTTGTTGTTGTTGTTGCTGTTGTTGCTGTTGCTGCTGCTGCTGCTATTGCTGTTGCTGTTGCGATTGCTCTTGTTGTTACTCTTGTTGTTGCTCTTGTTGTTGCTCTTATTGTTGTTGTTGTTGCTGCTGTTGTTGCTGCTGTTGTTGTTGCTACTGCCGTTGTTGTTGTTGTTGTTGCTGTTGTTGTTGTTGTTGCTGTTGTTGTTGTTGCTGTTGCTGTTGTTGTTGTATAAAGAGGTCATAGTTATTTTTGCTTGTTAGATGCAAACTCATACAGCAAAAAATACCCTTAGTTGCGTTCAAAGTCTAAATTTTTTTAAAAAAATTTGGTCACAATTCAAGAACTTAGATTTCTTATCCGATAACTAAGTGGTCACGACGCTTACCGATACGAAAAGCAAATAATTTTGTATGAGCACGACCAAGGGAGCATGCTGTGCATCTCCTCCCTCGCTAAAAACATCTACTAAGGAGAATTATTTTCGTCTAAAATTTTGGAAGACACATAATAATTATTAAATAATTATTTTTAAAAGAAAAAAATGACAATTTTAAATTTTTGTGACTCTTTGATCTGGTCCTTCAAAAATTGGAAAGTCTCTTTTTCATATTGAGGCATATAACTTTTTCCTATTACATAAAGAGTTTATTTCTGATTTTTTTTTTTTACTAAGATTATTTTATGGGTTGTTAGGGTTAGATCCCAAAATTTGAGATCCAAAAAGTATCCTATCTTGACACAGGGACGAAATAGATGGCTTGCTCCTATGGAGGAGGGCAGTTTGTATTATACAGTCCCTAATCTGATTGTGCAAAACACCCATTAGTATCAGTTAAGGGAAAGCATAGTATACACGCCGTCCATTCTCCAGATGCATAGCAGAGATGAAACACAGTCCCACCTGAAGGTGAACTGTAGTCGATCTCCACCATCTATCACAATAGTGGACTGTGGTTCCCTTGCATGTACATCGTCTGTCATATGCATCACATGCGTACACAACTGTAAAGCATTTTAATAGTGAGATGAAAAGTAGCCTATGAGTTGGGGGACCCATTTCTACATCTGTCTCCGGAGGTATCAAACATCATTTTAAAATGGATATAAAATTGCGGTCCCTTCTCAAGGAATTAAAATGTAGCAGTTCAATATAATTTTTTCAGAAAATTATCTTTTTAATTTTTAAATTTGTTTACTTTTTATATATTAATAATCTCCATATTAGAGACTATTTATATCTAAAAACTTAAGTCTAAATTTGATCGTAAAATTAGATTAAAGGAGGGCTGCATGTCCTATGACTCAAAAAACTTTGTGCATGCCCACACATTTGTTTCGCATGAAAATGTTTATTAGAAAATTTTTTACACGAAAGAATTTTTTTATGTAATTAGATGTAAAAATATTTTCACACAAATTTATTTTAATGCATATTTTTAAAATAATTAGAAGCTAATTAATGTGAAAATATTTCAACACTTAACTAAATATTTTCACGCTTATTTTTATGCAAAGCAAACACCGTTGCATGAATCTCAACCTTCAAGCATAATCCAATCCAATTGCGAATTAACTTATGCACACTCTCTAATAGGTACACGTAGTATACATACAATGCATGAATCACTTAGTTATAAGGAGAAAGAAAAACATAAAAGATAAGAAATCTTCACAGGCATAAGACATCCTTGTACAAAAAGAGTTATAGGCATCGGAAATCGTTATGATGGCTTTAAAATTAATTTTTAAAACCAACAATTAAATTTAAAGTTAATAAAGTAGTATAGAACTTGCGGATCCGTAAACATTTATTTCTTGAATGAAGTGGACAATACAAATAAATCATTCAATGTACACCATTTTTAATATTTGAAATCCTAATTTTTTTATTCAAATATAACCATCAACCCGAGATAATTGAATTGATTTGAAAGTTTTTCAACCCCACAAGTACAATTTTCAGTGAGGTACAAGATGCGGTTGTACTATTTTAATAAGCTGCAGCCCTATTTAAAAAAAAAAAAGTGGATAAATGAGAGATAAAGGTCGATTAGGGGGAGTTGATGGAAGATGCGTAGGGTTAGGGGAAGGTGGGGCCCACAGTGAAATAGGATTTGGTGGGCGAGAGTGGTTGTAAGGGCACGCACCCATCTGGGCTTGTGGCTGAGACGTGCCCCTTCATCAACGCGGGCCCCGCCTCGCACCCAGCAGGGCCCCTCTCTCTTAACCTTGTGGCCAAAACCAAAAGAAGGCCCTTCTCGAAGATCCCCCCC